AGAGAGTGTTCTATCGAGCAAGAAGTAAGCGCCTCAGACCCGCATAGCCATCTTCTCTTTGGAGTCAACATAGATTCATCTTCTCTTTTGATGCCGAACGGAATGTCAAACCTTAGAAGCATTGGCATTGAAGGTGGTGACTCCACGGCTTTACCCTTCACATCATCTAATTTCAACAACGATTTCTCGGGTAATCTTGCAATGACAACGCCTTCTAGTTGTATAGATGAATCGGGTTTTCTACAATCCTCAGAAAACCTCGGTACCGAGAACCCGCAATCTAACACCTTTGTGAAGGTAAAGGCAACTTTTCCTCCTCAAAGTGTTCTTTCGTTTTTGCACGCATAGTGATGATTCCACGGAAATGTTTTTGTAGGTGTACAAGTCAGGGTCTTTTGGAAGATCGCTAGATATATCAAAATTTAGCAGCTACCACGAGCTGCGAAGCGAGCTTGCTCGCATGTTTGGCCTCGAAGGCCAATTAGAAGACCCTGTGAGATCAGGCTGGCAGCTTGTATTTGTTGACCGAGAGAACGACGTTCTTCTCCTCGGCGATGATCCTTGGCCGTGAGTTTATTACTAATCCCGCATTTCCGCATTCGGTTTTGTCCATTTCATTGTTTATTTACCTGCATCTATCATTATCGACAGGGAGTTTGTGAGCAGTGTGTGGTGCATTAAGATACTATCACCACAAGAAGTGCAGCAAATGGGTAAAAGAGGCCTTGAGCTTCTCAATTCCGCGCCATCTTCCAACAATGTCGATAAGCTCCCGAGCAACGGGAACTGCGATGACTTTGGGAACCGGTCAGACCCGAGGAATCTCGGTAACGGTATCGCATCAGTTGGGGGTTCATTCAACTACTAGAAGTAGAAGGAAACCCCCATTTTTATTCAAGTTAAGTTTCAATCATATAAATTAGTAGTGAGATCCTCTTAGTTTAATTACTAGCAAAATCTCTCTTTATTACTTATTAAAAAAGGGGAGATATGCCTTTGCCTTTGTGGAAACAAAAAACTATATAATCCCTCTGTCGACTCTTAATACTGTAATTATAAGATCTTTTGGTCTTTTTCTTATATGAATATTTTTTACTCAACTTTTATATATGTCATTTTCTTTACTCACTTCTTCAATCAATATGATAGTGAAGTGTTATTTTGGAGTCATATTAAGACTTTGTCTGACTAAAATGGTCCACAAAGAAAGTGATTTGGGTCCCAATCTCCTTATTGGAAGTGAAAGCGTTTTGTGGTTTTGTTGTGTGAAACACCAAAATATTCCGACCCGCAATTTGGGGCTTTACCCTAAAATTAGATCTCATTTTGCGTCAGCCTAGACACGTATCGATCCGTAGTTCGTAGGACACTTTTATTGGTAGGTAAATTAATATATGCCCTAGCGTTTATAGTAAGTTTAGTTTTCACCAAAGAATATATGAAACGAAATTTGTAGAACGAGTATGGTTTTTGTTTGCGTCTTCATGTCATGATAATTAGAATATTATAACATGTAAACGTGAAAAAGGGAAATCTAACTCCTATTAAATTGACAATAAACGTCTTTTGATAATTGATCGAAATTGTTGGGAATTTGGAATTAATATCTTGCAATATAAATTTTGCTTGTTGGGTTTTATCGGAATATGATTAGGTTAGCTATGAATTGGGCATCATTTGAATAGTAGGAAGAATTTATGGTTAAATTTGGTATTTGATATTTTTTTTGTTTGATTGTCCATTAGAATCTATATAATAGAGTGACCAATTAATGAAAGACCATGTTTTATAAATGTTATTGAGTCAAATAAATAACAAATCTGATAAAGAGATATTTGTAAGTATTTGGTTTTGATGTGTGGTGTATGAATGTGATTCACATAAATCTTCAGTGGTGGGACTATATATTCTAAGTAAGAAATTTGGGAATGGTTGAAAATAATGTTGGGTGCATGTGGTAGGGACATTTATAGATGACACAAGTTAGGGCACTTTCATGAGCCCTAATTAAATAGTGCATGGTGACCCATCATTCTGAAAGTTCTCACCTTTTTTATTTTCTTTTCTTTTACCTTTTTTTTCTTCTTTTAAAAGTTAGTTCTTCCTCTTACAAAATCAATTATAATTTTAGTTGTTGATAGGATGTTGTAGCCATTCATTACATCGTTAAGAATAGATTCAAATGAAGATCTAAGATCATAGCTTTTATCTATCTACACATAGAATCATATCATGTCTTTTCTAGATAGATGTCATAATTAACTATATAATTTCAATCTTATTTGAATTTTAATGACTTTAGTGTCTAGATTTCATTATATAATTAAAGAATTCTTGTTTGTTTAATTTGAGTTTCAGAAACTGAAAGAGAACGAATAAAATTCTTTGGATTCATTAATTAAAACGCATGCATGAGTGCATCACTCTATAATTAAAATTCTATTTATTGATGAACACAAATTGGAAGAGGACATGATCAATCCATTGGAGTATAGGATCTTACTGCCGTAATTTAATTTGATCTTAAAAAGAATACATGCCAAGCTTCAATTATTTTGTTGATCGAATGCAGAATTTCTTTTAAAATTTGCTATTGACGACCTTAAGTTTATCTAGTAGTACTAATTCCGTCTCATCACCAAATAGAAATAACCAAATGTTGCACTGTTAGTTCCATAAATCAGTTCAGAATAATAATATCCTAAATTTCTATCTATAGATGTATGAAATTTAAAATGAATATAACCAAAATAAGCTTTTAGCGATAAGGCCATAAGGGTTTTGAGTGGGATATATGAAATTTGTTATTGTGCGACTATATATGAAATTTGTTATTGTGCGACTATCTTTCTCATTTATCTCTTTTAAAAACGACGAACAGAAAACGTCAAATGTGATATTATTGATTGTTGTAGCACTTTTTGAGCAAAGTAAATAAAGGTACCTTTTGAGCATTGTAAGACCAAAGAAAAAATAAAATTCTTTGGACCATCCTCCCGTTGTACTAACTACTCTGTTACCATTTCACTGAGTGATCCTTTTTAACGTATTTAATTCTATTTTGTAAGGATGGTTTCCATTCGATGGAACAACCATGGATTGTTAACGAACGATCCAATCTAGAATATAATATGCCATAACTTCCACAAAACTACACAATCTAACAAAAAGCATAGATAGTAGTGTGCTACCCATGTTTGTAGAGGTTTGAGGCGAGTTAAAAGAAAATGAGTATTTTCTATAAATATATTTTAAAGATAATTATAATTTAGTTTCAATTACAAAATATTAAATATGAGAAACAATATAGATAAATCTTAAACATCTGCAAAAAAAATCGTAACAATTGTTTTCTTTTCTACAAAATTTTCACCAAACGTAACTTTCATAATCGAGTTTTCTAACCAATTCATTCAACCTCACTTGTGACATAATTGATCACAAATATTAGCTTTAATTTTAAAAACTTACTTTTAGGAGAAGCAACTTGAGTCGGAAACTCGGAATGGTCAATAATATTCGATAAGTCGTCCATAAGTTTGTATAACAATCTCCCACGGCCAATCTTTTGAAGTTTTTGGCCAATTTTATTTGAGAACTTTTTAGTTGGAGAAGAAAAATGATCGTGCGAGATTAGATTCAAAACGATGTACTAGTTGTACACACGTTATTATTTTTCTTTGAATATAATTTAAAATTAAATTAAAAAAAATGATCGTGGGCCGTTGCAGAAGAAGACTTTAAAAACCAACAAAGGTTGAGATCACACTAATGCATACATTTCGAATTTATCACAATGAATTTTTTTGGATAATTGTACTCATTTAGTCATTTTAACATTGCCCATGGGTCAAAGCCCAAATATATCAGTGATCCAAAGAGGGCCTCTAGATGATGACAAGTACAGTAGCTACAATGGCTGGTCAAATTTTGTTTGTCTTTACTCTTTAGAGGTCGATGTCGTCTACTAACATGTAAACATAACGCCAAAATTTCACTTCCAGTAATTAATTTGGCTTTCTTGGATTTTTTGTCAGTTATGGTTAACGTGTACCTAAAGGCAATTGCAAGCCCTAACTTAAGACACAATCTTTGGCATTCTCTTTTTGAGTCTATGCAACATACTATGCATTCCATTTATATATTACAAAAAAGGGGTTTGATAATCCAATCAAGGTTTACTCAAACACCGAAAACTCAATCCAGTGCCTCATGAGAACCAACCACAACATATCTTGTAACTTGATGCCGGTATTCGACCAGTTTCCCGGATATATTGGGCTTCAGCCACTGCCTTCTCCGCATCACGGGTTTTTCTAGCTTCCGCTAAAGCCCGTTTCTCTTCTGATCTTTGCTTAGCCATTGCAATTTTCTTCACTATCTTTGCTTCAGCTTCAGCTTTCATTTGCTCAACTTTAGCCTACCAACAGAAGTTTAGCAATGACTTTGGTGTAAGTGACCAAGCAAAAGTTCCAGAGAATAAAAATTTGGTTCTACGCCTCACATACCTCGATTCGTCGCATTTCTGCTTCGAGTTTCGCTTTCTCCTGACTTTCCCAAGCTTGGATTCTGATTTCCTCACGCTTATACCTAAAATTTTGAGTTTCAGAAAGAAAAAAACAACACATTTTAAGTCTTTTACTCTATGTTTCTCCACTGGACATGCAAAAAATTTGGTTTAGGTCATAAGAGCAGACAGACCTTGCATTATGTTTGGATTTCTCTGCTTCTTCCCATGCAGTCGCTCGTTTTTCAAACTCAATCTTCTGTGCCTCCTCTGCATCTCCATTGTTGTTATTGTTCTCCCCTTCTTCTTTACTTGCCCAAGCGGCAATGTTCATCTTCCCTAGCTGAACTCCGAGAGCTACAATCTCTCTTCGCGTCTTCGCTTTCTCTTCCTCCTCAGATAGTTCTCTTCTTGTGTTTTTCGGCTGGTTTTGCGATAAAGAAGATTCCTCTTGTTGGCCACCTCTAGGAGTAGAAGGGAGAGATGAAGTCGGGCTACGAAGAGGAGTTGTTGCACCAACTGGTGTGACCGATCTTGAAGGTTCTTGACTCGGTATTGGCGTCATTTCGGTTCCCATATCTCTCATACAAACAGAACGAATCGCATGACCACCTTCACATATACAAACACTTATCTTGTCAAGCTCCGCGAGCTCTAATAATCAAAACAATTTCACCAAAAAACTAGTCACCTTTTTTACCTGTTGAATTATCATGTGATGGAACCTTTGCAGTATCCACAAGATCATTGCTTTGTGTGGATTGATCGATCAACGAGTCTCCTCCATACTCTTGAGTTAGAATTGGATGTGGCGCCGAGGGAACAAAATTAGGGAACTTCTCGAGCCCATCAACTTGTGAGGATTGGCACAGATCCATCCTAGATTTGTTATGCTCATAACCTGCATTATCAGGCACAACTCTCACGGGCATTCGGTTCCCTTGACCGTTCTTCCTCATCACCATGTTCTGTCTGCTCATTATCCACTTCTCAGCATCATTCCATTTGGATGGCATTTGTCTTGAAGGATATCCTCTTGAGCCATGATTCTGATTCGAACGCTCACCACGAGCTCGGTGAAACTCGAAGCTTGAAGAGCTAGCGTTACTGTCATAATCAAGATTTTCATCTTCTTGAGGTCTCATTATATGAGGAGGAGCCATATTCAAGTCCCCTTTTCTAAATTGCTGAGGTCTCAGTTGATCGGTTTCCCTCAGAACACCTTCACATCGATGTATCGAGGCTTGATTATCGCTCTCGGTTATGTCCAAAACCGGCTCATTTGGCAGTTTAGCTACTTCTTTATCCGTAGTTGAAGCCGCCACTAGAAGCCACACACAACAAGAACAGAGCAAAGACACAAACTTTAGCCAAGTGTTCAGGACCAAAACAGAGCAAAGACATAAATCGATTAAAAGACTTCAACTGTAACATAGAGCAGAGAGACGGGACAAGAACAGGTCAAAGACGCAAACTTTATCCAAGAACAGAGCAATGACACAAACTTAAGCGAAGTGTTCAGGACCAAAACAGAACAAAGCAAAGACATAAAATTGAGCCAAGTTCCGAGTGAAATCGATCAAAGACTTCCATTGTAACATATAGCAGAGAGACGAAACAAGAACAGGTCAAAGACACAAACTTTAGCCAAGAACAGAGCAAAAACAGAGACTTTTTCAACTTTCAAAGGGATTAACTTATCAAAAACTGAGACATGGAAAAAGAGAGAAAATTCACCATTATCATCGTCGTCTGAAAAAGATTTAGAAGCTAACAAGCAGTTCTTGGAGAACTCAGAGTCATCTGAAATCTGAAGACGAGAAGGAGATGTTCTTGAAGAGTTACTGTTGGACTTGGATCCTTCTCTCTTCATGTTATTGAGTGGACCCATTAGCTTCATTCGCAGCTTCGTGGGCGAGATTATGCTCTTCTGCAATATATATATATAAAAGGAACCTCAAAATATTGAACATTCTTGATTCTTTATGAAATTCAATAGTTTAAAAGACAGACAAATCAACTTTTTTCTGAATAAAGCAAAACTATGTAGATTGAATTGAGGAGAGAAAAAAGGACGAAGTTTTCTGAAATTGAGAATAGTAGTATTTATTTAAAGTTCATCTCTTTCTTTCTCCAAGAAATTCTTCAACAGAGGAAAAATTAATAGGTAGAAGTGAAACTCACTGTAACGTAAATGACAAAACAGAGAAGTACAAGAAGATTGAAAACCAGAGAAAGGTTTGTACTTGAGAGAGAGATAGTTAATTAACCTGCACTTTCTCTATCCTCTCGTAATCCATTGCCAATGCCAAATTTTTTTCTCTATCTCTGTATATTTACAAGCTTTCTTTCTCTAATTCCTCTGTCTTCTGAAGAAGAAGAAGAAGAGAGACAGAATGAGGTTTATTTTTAACTCCTAGCTTCTTTCTTTTTTTCTCTAATAGGGTTTTTGGGAATTTTTAGATAATGATTGAACAAAAGACGAATTTGTTTTTGTATTTATATATTTTATGGGAAATTGTTTTTTTTTGTATTTGTGTTAGAGAAGAAAAAAAAAGTGAAGATGGAGGACTGTGCACGCCGGTCCACATTTTGCTTGCTTCCACCGTTTTGATTTCGACACGTCACCTTTCTTTTTAATTACAAAACCATTTTTTGTTGGAGTACTTTGTTCTACTGTTGATGTTATCATGAATACAATTTTTGTTGCTATCAAATTAAAAAATGTTTTCTAATTTTTAGATTTACATTATTATTTTCAAATTATAGCATATAAGATATACTCTTAAACATTCTGCTTACTTTTTTTTAAATATAATCATATTTTGATTATACTCTTAAACTTGATCATTCATATTTTCAATTTATAGCTCTTGTCTCTAGTGAGTCAATACTTAAATTAAATCTCGAAAACGACTATATAAAATTGGACATAATATTGGAAAAGAGAAAAAAAAAACAACTGTATCTATAGAGGCACAGCGTATTTGAGTATATAACAAAGTTTCATTTTACTTTTTTAGTGTAGTGATTTTGATTTTATTGAGATAATCATTTCCATTGTAGTGATTTTTGATTTTTTTGAGATGAAGAATTTTAACAAACGAGAAAAGCTTGAGACACTAAATGCCAAAAAGAAAATTTTATAAAGATACTTATGTGGATTTACTGATATCTGAAGAGTCTATAAATAGACTAGTAACAGTGGATTTATTATTATATCTGTCGATCTCACCACTCGTCATAATGATTTGAATCATTTCTTTTTTACTGTGAACTTAATAATTTGAAGCAGAACCTAAAATTTGAACGAAAAAACAACTTACAGTATTTGTCTGTTTAGTTCAGAGTAAAAAACCCGGTAAAAATAAAAAAAGAACTTATGAGCCGATGGAAATTAGCAAAATATCTAGAATTTGGTCACGAGAATTCGTTTTGCTACACTGGTAATTATGATAACGAAAAATAAAAAGAACTATGTTTTATCGTCAAATAATGAATTTTTGTTTTTCCTCAAATAAATGATTTTTGTTGTTGTTGATTAAAGAAGATACCGAAGAAGTGGTTGTGTGTAGATTCGGAATGAAATGTAAAAAAAGAGTACTGAAACGTAAACAATCGAGAACTGACACTTTCTCCACTTTAGGGCATTACGTTTCTCTGTCACTTTGACCGTTGACTACCTCTCTTCTTCTTTCTCTCATTAATTTTTACTTTATTTATCATTTTTATCTTAGGATTATAAATTTACAATCGCATCTACTATACAAAGTGTGAAGATTATATCTGTTTTAAATACAATATATAGTTCTTACCAAAAAAAAACAATACAATATATAGTTTTCATGGGGGCTTATAAAATTCAACCATACAAATGTATTAATGTATAAACCCAATGACGAGCGTGTACGTATTGCGAGGCTCGAGCTCAGCTAGATTCCTATAGCCTAACCTTGTTTTCCTCAGATAATTTTATTTTCATAAATATTTTCCTAAGAAGACATGCTTTTGCACAGAAAATATGTGAGATTACTTTCTTTTCGAAAGGTCATGTTTTACGACAGATTCTTTTTTTCACAAGAAAACGTAAGTACGAGATTATTTATCAATAGAGAAATAAAGTAATTCAAAAACTTTATTCTCTTTAATTTTTTTCTTTTCTGTTTGGTATCTAATATTCTTAGCTAATGTCACACGATTAAAATCATGTGAATGTTATTTAGTATATCTATAGTCTATAGAGTGTCACTGTAGTCAATTGTGTTTGTTTGTTTTTGCTTTCCATCTATAAAACGTAAAAAACCATGTTTCGCAATTGTAATATTTAAATATTAATCAAAATTTCTAATTTACAAGACTGGAACGATCATATCCTCCAACCGATCCTACTAACCAAACTTAATTAACTCTCTCACTTCTTCTTGTTGAAACATATCAATAGTTTTATTAATTTGGTTGCTATATAACTTTAACAAAAGAATTGGATTGCTATAAGAAAAAAGAAAAAGAAAAAAAATTGGATTGCTATAAGAAAGAACTAGAGCCAGTTATTTTGGACTGTTGCATATGGTGAGCCTATATTAATTTAGTTATAGATTACTAGGGGAGGTCCCCGCGCCCAGCGCGGGGTTGTATGTTGATTAAGACCAGAATTAATAATTAATATTTAGGGTTATCAAGTTAGGGATATTTATTGAATTAATTTTGTCAAGAGTCTAATTTTTATAACGACATTAATATAGAATTATGGTAAAACGCTATAACTTTTGATATATATTATTAGTAATCAACAATTAATAGTGTTTTTGAATCACAAACAATTATTAGTGTTTATATCTTGATATATATAATAGAATTAAATATAAAAAATCTATATATTTAAACCAACAATATATTAGCAACGCCCCGACCGCCACTGTCCATGGGTTCCCACGTCCAGTCTCGGTCTTTAGGCCCATCTTCTTTGTTTTGTCGTACTCTTGATTTTATGACATATTCATGCTTACTCGTTTCTTTCATATTAGCAACGCTCCGACCGCCACTGTCCGTGGGCTCCCCACGTCCAGTTTCGGTCTTTAGGCCCATCTTCTTTGTTTTGTCGTACTCTTGATTTTATGACATATTCATGCTTACTCGTTTGTTTCATATTTGTAATGCCACGACCGCCACTGTCTGTGGGTTCCCACGTCCAGTTTCGTTCTTTGAGCACATCTTCTTGGTTTTGTAGTACTCTTGGTTTTATGACATATTCACGCTTCCTCGTTTCTTTCATATTTGTAACGCTCCGACCGCCACTGTCTGTGGGTTCCCCACGTCCAGTTTCGGACTTTAATTTGGGCCCATCTTCCTGGTTTTTGTTGTATTCTTGATTTTATGACATATTCATGCTTTTAGATTGTATGTCACTGGAGTTTTTCGTAGTTGGAAACAAATAATTGAAAAATATAATCTCTTACCATATCTCTTACCTATCAAGTAAGTCATCTTGCTCTTTGAAGTAGTTATGTACGTAAAATTTCAATGGTATAGAAACAGGCATCTCTTTTGTATATATCGTGTCATATTTATCGTCCCTATTGTAGTATCTTTGTCTCTACCTTCGCCATTGGTCGCTGCGTAACCCTTCAGTTGATCTCTTGTTTATAAAACCCATATAAAAAGTTGTAAGAGAAATATCATTTTCTTAACTGTATCGTATATGTATTTGTAGTATATTGATCTGAGATTGCAAAGATGTATGCCTATCAAGAAGCTCTTAGCAAAGTAAACACTGAAGATAGGTACTAAAAATGAGAGGATTACAGAGAGCAAGTATCTATCCCTTAGAAACCACTATGTGCAACTGAGAATAATTCATATATGTACATACATACACATGTATACAACGTATTGAAGCTTTTAAATTTAAATATCGAATGCTACAAAACTGGAAAATTGCTTGTGGAGAAAGCAATATGAACATGGCCACATATATAACAAATAACCGATTATGCTTGTCGTAGATCATTCTCTTTCAAACCAAAAGTTTTACCTAAACAACTTATCAAGTGACTCACAAGAGATACATAAGAGCCATATCCTAAAAATATCCGGCAAAGCAAAAACGCTCCAGGTTCGAGAAGGAAGTCATTGGAAAATTTGAGTATATACCAAACTGGAGAGTAATTCGGCTACAAAGAGAGATGTGTTAGCTTTGAAGAAAAAGCTATGTGATGTTCTACCTTTTATTTATGAATTTTATGCTATGAATATATGTTTTTGTTAGGGTTCAACTTCAGTCTCCGGATTAGAGACTTATATTCATCCGACAAACAATTCGATGTCACAATCAACGCTACAAAATTGGTGGGTTCTCTCTATTAACAAACAAAAAAAAATTCTGGGATATATATAGCTGGCAAAGGAGCTAACCCAGCTCCTTTGGTCTTATTTATGGTCATATGTATTTAGCAAAATATGGTATACAAACCGAACTAATCAACAACAAAACCTGGTTTTAAATTGTTGTATATTTCTCAAAAGTCAAAACCCATAATAACCAATGGAACAGAAGAAGCTAATGCAGAGCATACTTACGCTTGGAGTAAAGAGTGATGCAAGCTTCCATTGGCACACCCGAAAACGCATCAGAGCATGGAAAGAAACCTAAAAACCAATAAATTAAACAATAATTAAATCTTAGTGCATGGAAAACGAATCCTATACATACCAAAGTCCGAATCTCAGTGCCTTAGAATGACCTCGATACCAAAAACTTTAAGTTACTACTTCCATATATGTAATATTTTAGTTTGGGGAGAGAGATTGGCAACGAAGAGTAATTCCTGAATTTAACAGCCAAGTTTGTTATCCCTAATCTAAAGAGAGGAATACTTAAATTGTATTAACGACAAAAATTAGCCTCCTCTGAAGATTCATCCCTGAAATAAGTCATCTTTCTGACTTTGTGGCAACTGTGTTATCAAAAGTTGAGTGTTTCTTCTGAGAAAAGACATATTTGAAAATAATAAGAACATGTACCTCAACAAAATCGGGAGGTACCTCATCTTTTTACAACAAAAAAAAACATACCAAACCATCGATGATTACCTTCTCAAAAGTTGAAACCAAACTTTTTGATTATAAAAATTGATTAGTGGTGAAAATAGTGAAACCATAAATACAAAAAAAAAATAATCAAATTTGTACATATAAATTATAAGATCACCTGTTTATTCATTGAATTAGGTCCAAATTTTCCATACACCAGTTCACATCGTCCCCTCCATACATCCACCCTACAATAAAAAGAAAAAGAAAAATTAGGTAGAAGCAAAAAAAAGTTTGAAAAAAAAAGAACAAAAAAACAAGGGTTAGTTATGATCTGAAATTGAATACCATGAGCAAGGTATTTATATTGAATAGGAGGCGGTGCATGATTTAGAGTTTCTAAATTTTTCGACGATAAATACAAAA